ATAGGTTTAGAAATGTGACAGTCTGGGTTGGAAGACACTTATTATTTGAGTGACTTGTCTTTTAACCTGCAACGAGCTAATTTTAACTTGCAATGACATTAAATTTTAAGTTACCGTCTCCTGTTCAAAGGGGGACAGTGACACCCAGCTGAAAAGAGAAAGCAAGGCTGGAGATCCTCGAGCCACGCAAGTGTTCTATCTATTCCAGCTGCCATTGTTACTATACCACGAAGGGGCGGGTCTAAGCCGGGCTTCGGATGATGGGCAGTTCCTGGACTCTGGTTGTTTTCTTGGGGCCAGAGGCTATATCTGCAGGCCTGTGTCTGGCTCCAAGAAGTCAGTCCTGCATTCTAAGACAGGGCTCACACTACATATGAGTCTCTTTAGAACCATACAGCCACAATCCAGGGTTCTCATTGCAGGAAATACTGTGCAGTGAGCAAGCCTGGGCAAGCCTACCTGGAAGAGCTATCCCAAGTTCCTCTGCTTCTACCTTCACCTTGCTGGTCCAAGCCACCAGCGACCAGAATCTCCTTCAGTGTAAAGTTCTTTGGTTTTTGCACTTCCTGTCTTTATGAAATCCGTACATTATGGCAACTTACATTAAAACAACAAACAACAACAAAAACCAAAGCTGGGTGATGTCCCATGCCTTTAATCCCAGCACTTGGTGAGTTCGAGGCCAGACTGGTTTGCAGAGCTAGTTCCAGGACAAGGGTTATACAGAGAAACCCTGTCTTGAAAAAATGAAACAAAGCAAAAAGACCAAGCAGTCCCCTAGCTCTGATCAAACTTTTCAATGACTCAGGAAAATGTTGAGACGCCTCTTGTCCACCCAGGTCCCTTGCTTGTAACACCAGTTCCACTTAGGGCTTTGTGCAGTTTTTGCTCTGTGGTCAATAGTCACCTCTCATCATGTCCCCTGTCCACTCAGCTCATACGTCAGGTGTTGGTGCACAAACTCAAGGCGGGCATAAGAAATGTCACATTTTCTTTAAAGCAAATGAAATCTATTTGAGTCTACTTTGCTGTACCCCAGCAATACCCCTTTCTATATTTTTTCACCCATTCTCTAGCCACGGTGTCTCTGCGTGTTGGCTGTCGAGGGTACCCAGGTCATGTCCTCTGGAGTGCTGTGTTGATACTGTCTCCAAGGGATGCCTGGAAGCCAATAACTAACAAGTCATAGCTGTACCTCTGTCCCAAAAGTGAGATCTGGATGCCATAGCAGTACCTCTGTTCCCAAAGTGAGAGCTGGATGCCATATGATCCAGGGTCCTTGTGGGATCAGGCTGAGGCTCTGCCCTGAAAACATTTCTTGCTCAGCTCTCCCTGGTCTGCCCCACTTCTTCGAGGCTTCTGGAAGCTTCTTGCCTCATCATACTTGCACAGGAAAACACCATGAGCTCTGCTTCTAGGGGCCCAAACTCGCTCCCATCCTTTATCCTTTCTAGATACATCCGATTTGAATATATAGTTTGTACAGTTATTAGTTTAATATTTATATATCCCTAAGTAAACAAAGATCCCATAGAAACAGGAGCCTTTTTTTTTTTCATTCATCTTACTATGTAGCCCTGGGTGACCTGGAACTTGCTATATAGAACAGATTAGCCTCAAACTCACACAGATCCACTGGCTTCTGCTTCCTGAGTACTGGGATTAAAGATGCTTGGCTCCCTGCTTTTTTTTTTTTTTTCCATTGCATATTACTAGCACTAAGTATAGGGAATACTATATGTGCTCCTGAAAAACCCAGACCTAGTATCTGAAGGTCCAGAAAGAAGATCACTTCTCTCTTTAGTGAGACTAAAAAGAGTCAGAGATCCACTCCTGTGGAGTGCAGTGTATACTGGGGAACTTAATGCCAGAAGCATGCTTCCTGGGGGCAGCAAGCCCAGGTGGCTCCTTAAATTTGGGCAAGAAGGTGGGGGCAGATTTAGGCTTAGGATAAAAATGACTTCATATAAAGTCACGTAGGATAAAAGCCAGGGCAGGAACGTACATGGTTTTTCTCAAGGTAACATGCAAGGGTCAGGTCCATCCTGGGAGCCAGGGTCTAGGTATAAAGCTCCAGATGACAAATGGTTTTTATCTACTTAGAGTTTGCTAGAGAGCCTTGCAGGGAAAACCAGCTGGGGTTACTGGGTACAGTTGTAATGGCTATGATTCAAGATGACTACAATAGTGTCAATCTGAATTCATGCATACAATGGAGAAGGTGCCAGACGCCAAGGGTCACAGAGCCTCATAACCTCTATCAGTGGATACTTTCCCCTCTGGGTGTTTGGGAGAGAAAGCCACCCTACAGCTTCAGCTTGTCTTCTCTTGTTTGTTCCCCTCAAATTCCATAGTCAATCAGAGTTAGCAGTCTCTGGCTGGCCCTGTTTAGGTCACTTAAGCGGACATAAGGGACCACAATTCTGTTTTTATCAGGTCAATCTAGCCAATCAGGTCATTCCTGGGCATGGAGGCCTGCCTCAGATGAGAGCCAGAAGCCAATCAGACCAACCAAAAAGTGTCTTAAAGAGATTATATCCCATTTCAGTCAAAATCAAGGTAATACTCTCATTTTAATGGCACTCCAATGTTGCCAGGAAAGGCTAGATGTCAGGTCCAAAAGAAACTCGGGACAAAGAGTTATCTATGGTCTTATTAGCATATCAAAGCACTCGCTGGCCTCCAGGCTCCCTCAGTATCACAACTACCTGTGGTCCTTCCCACCCTGCCCCCTACCCTAAACTTCAGCTCACCCTCCCCACCCCTACCCCGCTTCTCATTCCCTTATGACCCTAGGCTAGGCTTCTCTTTTGTCTCCTTTCTTTGGGTTGTCTCCTTCTCTTCCTCTTTCTCCTCTCTATCAAGTCCAGTCTGCCGGCCATTTTCAGAATAACATTTTCTCTCTCTGCTCTGGACCCTTCCAGATACCTCTGGCTGTTCTCTCCTATCTCCAGCAAAAACCTTCCCTTCAGCCATACCTTGAAGCGGCCGTATCCTCAGGTTTTATGTCTGATGCTGAAACCCTCAGTTTATACACTGGATTTATTTTTTATTTTTATTTTTATTTTATTTTATTTTATTTTATTTTTTTTGATACAGGGTTTCTCTGTGTAGCCTGTCCTGCCTTGGAACTCACTCTGTAGACCAGGCTGATCTCAATCTTAGAGCTCCACCTCCTGAGTGCTGGGATTAAAGGCATGTGCCACCACTGCGAGGCTCAGGACTGTATTTTTTTTTTTAAATTAACTTTTATTATTGATCCTTTGCCATTTTCCTATCATGCATCCTGACTGATCGCACCCATCTTCCCCACCCATCTGCCCTCTGCTCTTGCAACTTCCCCACCAAAACAAAACAAAATTGAAAAGAAAAAACAAAACCCAAACCAGACCAACAAAGCAAAACAAGAAAGAAGAAAGGGAAAAAGAAAAAAAAGGAGTTTCATTGTGGAAGCTGTGGTGTGTCTTCATTCTTCAGTCCTTTTGTCTTCGTTTGCAAGTCAGTACTGGATTCTTTGAGTTTTTGAAGTTACCTTAGTTGAAAATTTTATCCCCAGACAATTAGATAACTGTTTGTCTAGTGATTGAAGGGATGGATGGTGCCATGGGTCTTAACTTCTGATGATTCCTAGGCAGCGCCACTGAGGCAGGTGAGCCTACATGTCTGCGGGTCAAAAGCTGCTACAACCAAATTCCTGGTTGAAACTAACTGTACATGCTGAAGAGATGGCTCAGAGGTTAAGAGCATGAGATGCTCTTCCAGAGGTCCTGAGTTCAATTCTCAGCAGCTACATGGTGGCTCACAACCATCTGTAATGAGATCTGGCGCCCTCTTTGGGTGTGCAGTCAGAGCACTGTATACATAATCTTAAAAAAAAAAAAAAAAAAAAAAAAAAAGAACAAAAGAAACTGTACATGTAGCTCATTTGTTTTGAGATACACTCTTTCTTCTGAAATCTATAAAGACAAAGGCCAGTGAGGGGCGAGAAGAAATGTCCAGTGGGTAAATACGTATGAGTATTTTGGCAAACTATGGATTCTTTTTTTATGTAAGATTTATTTTTATGTGTATGTGTGTCTTTGCCTACATGTGTGCACATGCACCTCACATGTGCAGTCTCCTCAGAGGCCAGAAGAGGGAAGGGAACCCGGTGAACTGGGGTCACAGACAGGTGTGAGCTAATATGTGGGCACCAGGAACCGAAGCCAGGTCCTCTGCAAGAGCACCAAGTGCTCTTAGCACTTGAGCCGTCTCTCCAGCCTCAGCAAGTTCTTCTGTACATCTAGCACTGGCTGCTGCCTCTGAGGTGTTGTATATTTGAAGGGGCGCTGAGATATGAGCTGCCATTACTGTTCTGAATAAAGGGGTGCTCCATTCAAATGGAGACCCTTGCCAGTGGCACAAGGCAGCAACCACAGACAGGGAGCAGAGGGAACCAACAGCTAACTGGGATTACAAGCACACACCACTATGCTACCAAGCCCAGTTTTTACTGGAGTCCTAGGCATCAAACTTAGGTCCTGACTAAGCCAGCCCCTAACTCCTCAGAGATAACTTTTTAAATCTGTACATTTATGCAAAGTCTGAAAACAGTCTGGGAACCTCCGGAATGTCCGTCATCAGTGAGTGGGGTGGGGTGAAGGGTGGGGGTATCCGCTTGAGGCATGCGGAACTACAGGCTACTTCCACCCAGACGCTTCCAGGTTCGGAAATACAGGTCTGTGATTCTCTTCCCGTCTGGCTTCCTCTTTGTCTTTCCCACTCATGGTTTCAACTACCTGAGCCAGAGGACACATGGGAGTAGCTGGGAAGTGGTAAACGTTGACAGGAGCAGAACTGGAGCGAAAGGCAAATGTTTAATCGACTGTGTTCAAACACTAGTGAGTGAATGACTAACCGTAGGCTTGAGAGCCACATAGTCTGCATTCCTGAGAAGTCTCAGTTTCTCATTCAGAACATTTTCACACTGCGCTCTGCTGCTAAAAAATCAAGTGGGCGTATGTTTTTGAGTGTTGATTTATTACTCAAAGATCTGAATTTGGAGAGAGAGAGGAAACATGCTTTATCTACATAGTTTTGAAAACCCAATCCATGGGAAAGAAAGCCAGGGTCAGTTTCCAGCCGGTGGGACGTTCTCGTGGAGGCACTGCAAGGCCAGGTCTGTCCACTTCATCTCCTGCTCTTTCACGGACTCTGTGGTGCCGCCATTGTCCTGCTCAGGCTCTGGAAGCTCACTCTGAAAGGGAAGGACATCCACAACAGCCATGAGAAACGTGTCTTTCTGTATATTTTTGAGATGAGTCTCAGGTAGCCTAGGCACTGTTTTTGGTAGGAACTGAGCCCAGGGCCTTGCGGATGCTAAGCAAGCGCTCTACCACTGCGCCACATTCTCAGCCAATCACCTTGAACTCTAGCCTATCTTCCTTTGTAAAGAAGGGAAATCAAGACCCCATGAGTAATTCAAACTCATGGGGTCTTGATTTCCCTTCTCACAAACGGAAGGAAAAAAATAGCTTTTTTCACGCCTCAGACTTTGGTAAAGAGAGAATGAGGACCTCAGATCGGTGCTTGGCACCGTGGAGGGTGTCCAGTGCTCCATGGCACTCGCTAGTATGAGCGGCTGAGAACACAGACAAGAGCCAATGCGGAACCTTTTTGAAAGTGCTTTAAAGGCAAATCAGATTTGCTGGAATGTGTTTCTAAATATAGGACATGTATCAACAACAACAACAACAACAAAAAATGCTACACCCAAAATGCTTATGTGACAATTAATATGGGCTGGATGAGGGACACAAAAATGTAACAGTCGAGACCTCCCCCTAGTGGGAAAACACAGTAAAGACCAACTCACATCCCAATAGCTGTTTTCTAAGTGATAAGCCATGGGACCGCATTAGACAAAATCTGGTATCCTTTCCTGATATATGTGAATTTATTACTGCTGAATCTGTGCTGGGCTCCAGAGTTCACCATGTATTTCTGTGCAGTTACCAGAAGTTACACTTTGTGTTAGCAGACTGCTGCTTAATATTCAGTTAGGATTTCCCACTGAATTCTTGTCGTCTCCCCCCGCACCCCCACCCCCCCCTACCCCCCACCCCGCCCCAGGAAAGGGTTTCTCTGTGTAACAGTCCTGGCTGACCTGGAACTCGCTTTGTTGACAAGGCTGACCTCAAACTCACTGAATTTCACTTGCCTCTGCCTCCCAAGTGCTGGGATTAAAGGCGTGCGCCACCATTGCCCGGCTCCCACGGAATTCTTGTTTTTCCTCTTTAAAATTAACATGTAGTTAAGTGGTATTTATCTACAATCTGTACAAACGTATTTGAATGGGACCAGTGAGATGGCTCAGTGGGTAAAGGCCCTTGCTGCCAAGGCTGGTGACCTGAGTTCTACATGTGTGTCACAGCACACAGGTGCACACACACACAAGAAAAACCCAAATGTGTTTGCATCTGTTTTACAAACATATATTGACATTTAATATTCCTTATACAGAGCCAAAGAATTGTCATTTTTCTTCATTCCCTACCACAGAGATGGTCCCTTAATTTTTGTGTGCAGAGTTCACGTCGCCACACTTCTTGGTGGTGTTCTGGCTTCCCCCCTTGCCTAGACTGCTGCACTGCAGTACCCCCTACTTGGGGCCCCTTGCCCTTTCTTCTGTCAGGCTGTCTCCATCTATGCTGTGAACCCCACTTTCTTTTTTTAATTGATTTTTTAATTACACTCATGATATTCATTAAGTACACTCATGATATTAATTACATTTGTGGTATTCATTGATTACACTTGCAGTATCCACTCCATAATTATATTTATGATATTCACTAATTACATTGATTGTATTGATTTATTACATTCATGATATTATGTCCTGATACTACTGCCCATTTGTGGGGTTTTTCCATCACACAAAACAGAGATTCTGTCCTTAGGAAATCATTGCTCTGTATTCCTTTCTTCTCTATCTTGAGATAACATCTGATCTTTCTGTCTCTATTAATTTGTATTGAATCCCACTTTCTGAGAGACAAATCTGAGCATGGCAGCCTCACTCTGCAGACCTTTCATCCCTAGAGCCTTCGAGGAGGAGACCTAAGTGGGCCACAAACACCCTCTCAAAAGCTGTTCCCAGCTTTCTGCCTCCGAACTACCAATGTAACTGCTGCCCCCTGCTTCGCTGTCTCCCACTGTGTTTCAGACCCTGGGCCTGTCACACGCCTCTCCTCTCTGCGTCAGTACCCTATTTAGCACCGTTAAACTTCTGGTTCTTTCGTAAGCATTGCATCTTCTCCGAAGCATTTCTGCTGCATGCCAGCCAGTAGGGAAGAGAGGACACACATGCTCCTTGCTCCTCTTCATGATTCACTTCACTTGGGAAGCAAGGACACCCATGCTCCTTTGTACGTGATGCACTGAACTCATGCTTGGCTCACCTCTGGCTTTCGATGGGGTGACACCACAACATGGCTCCGAAAATCTAGGTTCCAGCCCTGGAATGACCCCTAACTAAGGTGGTTATACCAGCCAGTTCTCTGAGCCATGAAGGGATGAACTAGCTGTTCTCCAGAGGCTTCTAGATTTAGAGGATGCCACGGCGTGGATGTCTGGGCCCTGGTATTTCACCCTCCTGCCCCCATCAGCCTCCACTAGCCTTCCCCACATTACATCTCTGACTCATTGTCCTGAGTTCGGATCACAACCTACCAGTGGGATCGCCACATCCTCGTATGGCAGCTTGTCCTCCCGCCAAGCATCATCAATCAAATCCAAGATCCTTCCATCTCGTTGTACCTCGCTGTCCATTTTCCTGCAGCTTTGGTCTCGTCAGTTCTGTAAGCCAAAGAGGTCATTTCTTCAGCATGAGGGGACCGTAATCCAGAGGGGACCAGTAATACCAGGATTCCCCATACTTTTAGCTTGAAACTGGTTTTGTTGTTGTTGCTTTGTTTCTTAACACCACCCCAGGAAACAAACATAATCTTATGCGGGGCAGGTGACAACATAAAAGACCACAGTTCCTTTCTCACTTCAGCTAACAGGTGCTAGATTGTGTCGAGATGCAGTCTAGTTGACAGACAAGTTCCTAGTGTAACAGCAACGCCTTTCTGAACAAAGCCCTGGAAGGCACTGTATCTAAATGTAGCTTTCTTTACAATCATATACAATCTTTCCTTGTTTGCAAGGCCTTTGCCAGTCTCTTCTCCAGCTCCTTCAGCCCTCCCCCATTATTTGGCACAAATTTCCAACTGCCTTGGCTCAAACCTCGCTGTTCTTAAGGCACAGGAGCTCAGGGAACACGCAGGGTGACACTGAGCTGGAATGTGTGGAGTAACCGACCATAGACCAGCTGCTAATCCTTTAAAGCAGGAACAATGTGGGCAGCTGGGCTTACCCGGAAACCACTTCCTTTCTTAAACATCATCCATCTCAGTGAGTTCGAGGCCAGCCTGGTCAACAAAACAAGTTCCAGGACAGCCAGGACTGTTACACAGAGAAACCCTGTTTTGAAAAAACAAAAACAAAAAAACCCATCCAGACTGAGCTCTGAAAGCAGCATGCCATGATCAGCAGTGGCAGTTCAAAAACAAAAAAACCCATCCAGACTGAGCTCTGAAAGCAGCATGCCATGATCAGCAGTGGCAGTTCCACATTCTGTGTCCCTCTGGGCTACCTCTTCCTTGTCCTCCCTCCCTCTCTCTCTTGCTTTTTTATACAAAGTTTCTCTGTGTAGTCCTGGCTGTCCTGGAACTCACTCTAGACCAGGCTGGCCTCGAACTCATGGAGTCTGCCTCTGCCTCCCGAGTGCTGGGATTAAATGCGTGTATTTAATGCGTGACTGGGCCCTCCTCTTTTTTTTTTGGGACAGAGTTTCAAACTCTCTCCCTTAAGCTTCTAATCCTCCTGCCTCCACCAATGGGATTATAGGCGTGTGCTATATCTGCTTTGTGAGATTCTGGGAATTGAACCCTTGTGTATACTAAGTAAGCACCCTATCAACTGACCCACATGCCCAGCTGAGGGGGACCCTGCAGGTGTCCATGCAGGGAAGCAAACTGTGAAGAGGTAAGAATGAAAACGCAGTTCAGACTGACTGCATCAACCTGAATCAGACTTGGGGAGTCTGATGCCAGGTGGTTTATTCCCAGCACATTTAAACACAGCATAATCTGGAAACAAGTTCCCTGGTGTAATACAATCCCCAGTGCACAAAGAAGCGTAATCAGAGCAAGACTTGACTCAGGGTACATGTCATTTCTTCCAAGAAGATGGGTTCTAGAGACAGGCTACTTGTACTAGCTTAAGGGCCTAAGGAAGGGTCTGGCCAGGTCTTGTCATACAGCTAGCATGGAGGTCATTTGGGCTATTAGCCACCTCTGGCCCTGGTTGGGGGAGCTTGGGGGAGCCTCTGGCTTGATTTGGCCTGGCCCAGCAGATAACGCAAATCACCAGGCTATTAATCACTTCCAATTCCCTCTTCCTCCTAAAAAAATAATAATAATTACATTTATTTGTATATGTACATGTGGAGGTCAAAGGACATCTTGGGGCAAATGGTTCTCTTTTTCACCAGGTGGGTCCCAGAGTTGAATTCAGTGCCAGGCTTGGCAGGGAGTGCCTTTGTGCCACTGAGCCACCTTGCTGGCCCTCGGCAGTGCCTGGTTCAAGTGCTCGGGATGCTTACAGATCCCTGACTACAGAGCATTCCTCATTTTCCTCCTGAAACAGTTGTAATCTAACTCACAAGACTGGTCATCACGGAGCACTTCTGGGTTTCCAGCTGCTAAGTTTGCTCCTTTTCACAAACCAGCCCTACTGTGTTCCCTGCTACAAAGTGGCAAACCACAGGCCTTGAAACCACTAGGGCCAGTGGTTGTCTCAGGGACTCTTCCATTTCTGAGAGAAGGGAGACTCGTGTAAGAAACATCCTTTGGCATTGGAGTCTAACTTTGCCATACAGGTATGCGCTTGCCTCCAACAGTATTAAAGGCAAGCTAGCACTCTCTATCTGGTTTGGGGGTGGGGAAGGGCTTTAACTTGAAAAGATTAGACAGAAGGGGCCTGGGAGACAACTCAGCAGGTGAAGTGCTTGCTCTGCAAGCAAGAATACCCGAATTCAGATCGCTGGCACCCACATAAGAAGCGGGGCACAGTGGCATACACTTGCCATCCCAGAGCTGGGAGGCAGAGACAGGAGGATCTCTGGGAGATTGCCAGGCCAGTCAGGCTAGCTGAACCAGAAAGCTCCAGGTTTAGTGAAAGATTCAAAGAGGAGGTGATGGAGGAAGACACTGATGTTGACCTCTGGCCTCCACCCCCCCCCCCCCCCCGTCTAGGCACAAACCTCCACCACCATCGTTCCCTGTACACACACACACACACATTAAAGCAAAAGGTGGCCAGCTCCTACTGCCACCTGGGAACCAGGTGACGGCTTAGCATTTTTACTTGGATTTAACTGCATCTAGCCAGTGGATAATGCAAAGCTAGCAAAAGGATCCCATCTGCAGAAATGTATAACTAGTCCTTCCTGTCAGTTCTGGTCACACCTGCAGAATCTGACAAGTTTTCCTCCTTTCCTGTCACTCCTTTGTTCTTGGAGCTGTGCCTTGGGCTACACGTCACACTTCCTCTGCTGATTTTCCCAGGTCTTTACAGATTGCTGCTTTTTTCCCCCTGAAGTGTTCTGACTTCCCTCGAGCTTTAGTAGACTTTCTGTCCTCAAATGCTTGCTGTTGCCTTAACTAATGTATGAAACAAGTTAGGTCAGCTTTGTGACTGATTGGCAGGGTACTTTTGTCTTCAGTGGTAAAGTATAAAAGCTGTACCAGTGATTCCCAATCTTTCCACAAGTTGGCCTCAATATTTTGTAACATGTCCCTCTTCTACACGCTTGCAACCTGGCATGCCTTCCATCCACCTCCTGCATTTCTTCCTCAGCATGCTTGGCCATCCTTCCAAACACAACACGGATGACAGATCTTTGGCGGAGGCACTCAGATTCTCCCCCTTTACACGAACTAAGAAGCAAGCACAGTAATGCCCAGACAACGGCCACTGTCCCAAGCCCTTACCGCACAGCAGAAACTCTCCGGGCTTTTTAAACCTATTTTTTACACACGTACTCTTCTCTTTCTAGCCCCCCCAAACCCACCCCCCAGCCCGACACCCTCAGTAATACAAAATCTCAGCTCTCAGGCTGTCTTCTTAGACGCCAGGCTGAGCGCAGTTCCCTTCACCAGTCCCCTAGATCTCTGGGCACAATGCGTGACAACAGGGTAGCCTCTCACACTGTCTAGACAGCTCTTTCCAGATAGTAGACGAGCGCGTTTTATGCATTTTCGAAATCTACAGCTTTGTAAATCTATTTCTAAGCTAAAAAGCACGGCTCCTATACTAAAATTGGTCCTCGAGGGCCACCATCCTGGGTCACTAGACGCAGAGTCGCCCGCCGCCGCCGCTTCCGGCCCGAAGGCTGGCGCTACCATATGCGGAAGTGCAAAGGGGAGGTGGAGCGTCGCCATGCGGGCTCCCTTGCACTCCGCGCGGCGTGCCATGAGGAAGTGGCTCTGAAGGCCGGTTGAGAGCACCTGCCTGCGCCTCTGGAAGCACTGGACGCCCGGAGCCTAGGGCGAACGCTTGGCCACCCTCCGAACCCGGGCCGCTGGCGCGAAAAAAATTCCCCTTACCCACAGAGCGCGCATCGGCTTCCTCCCGGCCCCGCCCTCCTGCGGGGTCACGTGACTCGCGGCGCTCTAATACCCCGTATGTGGGTGAGTCCCTTCGCGGCTGCGGGAGGCGGGACGAACGTCAATTTGTTGTGACGCGTGCGCGCTCCCGAGGAACGGCGAGCAGGCCTGGGGGCGCGCTCGGCCGGGGACGCGCTCTGTAACCGCCTGCGTCCCCAAAAGACGGGCGAGCCGCGGCTTGTTGTGGGGTAGACGCGGCCCTGGCCACCGCGGTGCCGCTAGCCTGCAGGCCGCATGGCCCGCGGCCGCTGCCCATCGCTGTCCATCGCTGCCCGCCTGCAGCCAGGCCTTCTACTGCCCGCCCGCGGCTACCCGGGCGCAGCACCCCGGGGTCTCTCCGACTGCTCCATGTGCGGCTCCGTGCTGGCCGGCCAGGTGCTGCGGCCTCGGCGGAGGCGTGCGGGAGGGCGGCAGGCGGCGGGCTGCTGCTGCAGCTGTCGGAGGACCAGGCTTTTGGGTTAGCAGCTCAGCGGGAAGCCCGCGGGCTTCCCTGGTAATGTTAGTATGAGAGGTGCCAAAACTTGGCGGGAACCCGGATGCAGAGGATTTGCAGATGGCCTCGTGCCTTCAAGTCAAGCATCGGAAGGAAACAAGATTGGTAGAGTGAAAGTTTTGAAAGGGCAGTTCCATAATGCTTTAGTCACGGAGACACTTGACAGTGAATCTGGACTGCAAATAGGGCTTTTGTCCTTTATACAAAATCCGTGGAGTTAGAGCAAACTGTTGTTTCATTTAAAGACTGTACACTTACTTGCCCAAAGTATACCCTCCCCGCCCAGCGCCTGCTCTCCATCAAAACAGGGTCTTATGAAGCCCCGATTCTGCACGCCTTTAATCCCAGCACTTGGGAGGCAGAGGCAGATGGATCTCTTGAGTTCCAGGACAGCCTGGTCTACAAAGCGAATTCCAGGATAGCCAGGGCTGTAACATGTTACACAGAGAAGCCCTGTCTCGGAAAAACCAACATCCCTCCTCCCCCACTTCCCCAAAGAAGCCTTGACTGGTCAAGAACTCACTATGTGTAGACAGGCTGGCCTCCAACTCTTCAGAAATTGGCCTGTAATCTTGCGGTGGTGGCGCACACCTTTAATCCCAGCACTTGGCAGGCAGAGGCAGGCGGATCTCTGTGAGTTCGAGGCCAGCATGGTTTCAGGACTGCCAAGCCTACACAGAAAAACCCTATCTCGAAAAAGCAAAACAACACAAGTTTTACGGCATAGATATTGTTAATTATGCCAATGTTGCTTCCTCCTATGGAGTTGTAGAGGACCTTTACTTAGCCTAACTTCCTGCCCTCAAGTACTGTATAGGAGCTGACGGTAACATTAGTCCCCACCCCCTTACTGTCATAGCTAATATGTTCCCCACCCCTCTCACTGTCATAGCTAAGGTGCTTCCCATGCCAAGGGCTAGATTTGCTTTTACAAAACCACAATACTATTTTTATATCAGTACAGATTTATGGAAAATACACAGTGTCAATATCCAGTGGGATCAGGTTTCTTCAACTACCTCATATGTGCTTGCAATACCTTGTTTGGACCAAAATTCTGCAGAGAACTGTTTGCTGCATATGGTTGCTAGGCATTTAAATCCTCTAATCAACTGTTTTTACCTCCCTTTTCTCTTTACCATTTAAAATTTAGCTGGTTGAGTGTAGAACATGTGCCTCTACTTCCTCTATGGCCTCCCCTCTCCTGGCTAAGTCTTGAATTCCACTGCCCAGTGTGGTAGTCATCGGATAGCCATGCTATTTTAAATGAAATAAAAGTTTGGTTCCCCAGTTGAATTAGCCACATTTGAAATGCCCAGCAGTCACAGGTTGCCTAGTGGCTACTGTTTGAGTAATGCAGATAAAAATGTTTCTATAATTACAGAAAATTCTGTTGAAATACAATGATCAGAAGTGTTAGATTCAACTTTTTTTTTTTTTTTTGGATGGGAGGTGCAGGAAAAATGCCATAGGTTTTATATTCTGAAAATTATCTGTTGCGCCGTTCGTTATCAGGGAGACATGCAATGTCTGAGTCATCTCATTTGGGATGTTGCAGTTGAGCTGTGTAGTGGTTCCTGCTCTGTCAGCTCAGTTGACCCACCATGAAATTGCTCAAGGGTCTTTCAGTTACTAGGGAGGTCTTTCCTGGCTAACAGTGCCTGGGGCTCTTACTGCATGATGGCCACAGCATGGTGCTTTCTGGTTTTGCCATGTCTTAAGTGCTTGCTTAGCTGGCACTCTTGCAAAGAACTTGCCTTCCACCACTGACTACCCGAAGTTCAGTTGGTACGGGAATGGCAAGAAAAATGCTTAACTCTGTTCCTTTCTTTTCAGACGACAGCAATGAATTGGTGGCCTAGCAACCTCCAAAGGTAACCTGAAGGCCTTAGCTTTAAAACCAACAGGTAGACTTTAATATGTTTAAAGCTGTGGTCTAGCAACCTCCAGAGACAACCTGAGGGCATTACCTTTAAAAACAAACTAAGAGACTTTAATGTGTGTAAGTTTTTTGAAGATACTGCAATTTTTTGATACCCCAAATTGTTTTGTTTTTAGCCCACTGGAACCCTTCAAGACCCATAGTTTTGATAGCTTCCTTTTAGTTTTGCTTTAGCTGGGTTCTATGTAGTCCAGGCTGTCCTTGAACTTGCTCTGTAGCCAAGGATGATTTTGAACTTATGATCCTCCTGCTTCCACCTCCCAAGTGCTAGGATTACAGGTGTGAGCCACCATGTCCAGCTCAGTACTGCTTCTTTTTCTTTTTCTGTGTTAGTTATCAAACGTCATCACAGTCCCTATAAAACAACACAAACCCAGACTTAGCTGAGGCAGGTTAGCTTTAGCCCATCTCCTCCACCATGATTATTTCCCTCCTTAGAGGTGTAGTGTTTCTTTCTCACTTTGTTCTTCAGAAAACAAGCACCCCAAGGCAAACACACTTCCTTCTTTTTACTGTTTTGTATCTTGCTGTTTTTACCTTTTAACAGATCCCTCCATAAAGGATGTAGTGACTGTTATCTCTTTTTTATAGCTTCATGTATTCCCTCAGTGAATGAATATGTAGTGAGTTTCCTACTTTATAAATAATGCTGCAGGGAATGCCCTTTATATATCTCATTTTGTATTTTTCCAGTGTGTAAGACTGAGCATCTTTTCATTAAACTAAGAACATTTGCATTTCCTTTTCTGTTCTGATTGTTCCCATCTTCTACCCATTTTCCTATAGCTCTTTTTTTTTTTTGCTTTTTGTAAGTTATTTATATGTTTAGTAATTACCTTTTGTGATAAAACTATTTCTTTCTTTTTTGTTTTGTTTTGTTTTGTTTCTTCGTGTATCCTTGGCTGTCGTGGAACTCGATCTGTAGACCAGGCTAGCCTTGAACTCAGAAATCCTCCTGCCTCTGTTGTGGCATTTTTCCATTTAAAAGTTTAAGTAGTCATATTTCTTAGTCTTTGTAATTTTACTTTCTGATTTTGGTCACAGTTTGGACGGCCTTTTAAAACTTTCATCTTTATTTTGAAAAATTTCTCTAGTTTACAACCCCCCAACCTTTAAAGGGTGGTTTTTTTTTTTGTTTTTTTTGTTTTTTGTTTTTTTGTAAACAAGGAACAGTGTTGATTGTTCTTTCCACAGAACTTTGTAATGATAGGAATCCCAAGGCAGGCAGAGTGACTGCACACCTTCTTCTCCTTTAAGGTGCTCCTTCTCTGAGTATCACACATTTACACATTTACTCATAGTTTTTTTCTTTTTGTGTTCCATTTTATAGTGTGATCTTTGGTGTATACATTGGATATTTCCTCTTAACCTGTAAAGAGAAAAAGTTAAACTAGAGGCCTATGGTGCCTTCTGTCCTTTAAGTCCAATATGCTAATGAATTTAAAAGATTTGGCATGATCCCCCTCCCCCCCCCCCACATACATACTTAAAGCATGTGTTTTCTGTTCCTTGGACTTGATAAAAACCTGCATCCCCTTTAATCATTCAGGGCCAGATTTGAGTGACTGAAAACAGCCTTTGAAGGGACACTAGCCAACTCGAGCATGTGGCTCTGGCAGGCCTTGCCCTTCTCTCTCATTCTCTCTTTGTTATTAAAAACCATTAGATTACATTCCTAAAGACAGCAAGGTCTATTCCCTCTTTTGGCCACTTCCTCCTCTTGAGACTGACTACTAAGGTCCAGCTGTCAAAGTATTGAAGTCTAGCAATCAAAAGCACCCTATGGCTCACCTAATTAATATGCCCAATTAAAATTAAACACCTCATCCTAACACAGGGTTTCCCCTTTTACCTTTATAAACCACCATTTGCCTATGGGGCGCGTCTGTCTCCTCTCTATCCGGAGGCAGTCTTTTGTTCTCTGGGACAAATATCCCTTCCCCCTCTCCCTTGTTCTCCTCCCCTTCTCCCTCATCCTCTGACTCCTGTCTTTGTCTCTTATTCCCTGCGCTGTGTCCCTTTGGGGCAAATAAATCTCCTTTGTGCTGAGAACTTGGTCTTGTTGGGTCCTGAGCCCATACTTCTCCTTTCAGCCTTCGGCCCAAAGGCTGTTGTGAATTCCGAGTTCTGCCTGTTGTTGGCTGGCTGTGCGGCCCATGCTAGTGTTTGATGTTAGTGGTGAGGAGTGGCCGACCATCAGACAGTTTCTGTGAAATCTGTATTGACTGTTAGGAACTCAGGCTACTCTGCTACACAGTC